TGGCTATAAACTAAACTTACGAGATATACTGGTTGCTCTTAAGACATGGTTTTTGAAAAAACGCCCAATATTTACGTCATAAGGTATAAGAATAAAAAATGTGATTTTATGTGGAACTGAATCTCTAATCTAAAACCGTATCGTAAGACAAAATATTCGGGGCCTTTCTGTCTGTAAGACAGATTTGAAATTTCAAAAAAAAAAAGACTAAAATTCACGTCATAAAGTATACAAACGAGGTCTTTTCCATATTATTCCTTACTAAATGTACCACTAGGAAACTATTCGTAAGACAAAATATTTGGAGTTTAGACGCTTTAAGACAAGCGTTTTTGGAAAAAAGCCATTATTTACGTCATAAGGTATAAGAATAAATCGAATGTTATTTTGTGTGGAATTGAATCTCTGATCTAGAACAGTAGCGTAAGACAAAATATTCTGGGTATTTCTGTCCTTAAGACAGATTTCAAATTTAAAAAAAAAAGTCGAAAATGTACGTCATAAGGTATACGAGCGCGTTTTTCACTTGATTGTTCCTTACTAAATGTACCACTCGGAAACTATTCTTAAGAAAAAATATTTTTCCTGTGACCACTTAAGAAACTGACACATATCACACTGTAGTCCTATGGAAAGTGCCCTATATCACACGCGTATGAATAAGAATTTACTTTCCACCCGTGTACGAATATGCTACTTTCCGCATCAGCTGTTACAAAATGTCAAACGCATCGTTTCTATTTTGATCTATGTAATGTCCATATTAATACTACAATCAATATAATTGTTAAATTATTGAAATTGTTGTAAATTAGATCCTAGATATTTATCTTTAACAAATTATTATTAAAATAATTTTAAAATAACTTTTATGTTATGTTTGCTTTTTATTCCGGTTAAACACATAACCGAATAGATCATTCAATTGACGCAAGGCCTATTAGCTCAACTGGTAGGGTATCAAACTTTATTAATTTTGCCATTTGAGACCTGGCGAGCGACCGCGTTCAAATCATTGCGGGGGCAGAATTTTTTTTTGTTTTTTATATTTTTTTTGTTTCGAAAAATATGAAAATTGAATAAATACCATTATTGTTGATTATTTTTTTAAATACATTTTAATTATTATAATAATAACCTGGTTTTACATTTTTTGATGAAATTATTTTGTGGTCGTAGGAAAAATATTGTACATCACTTGTGTGAAAAGTGATTTTCCACAATCGTAATGTAACATACTAGTACTTCACTTGTGTGAAAAGTGATTTTCCACACTCGTGTGATAGTCGCACTCGGTTTGTGCCTCGTGCGACAACAATATTTCCCACTAGTGTGAAAAATGTCACTTTCCACACTCGTAATGTAATATACTAGTACATCACTTGTGTGAAAAGTGATTTTCCACACTCGTAATGTAATATATACTATTACAGGTATAATTAGTCTAAACCAAGAGTTTTTGGAAAAAAAGACCCAGTATGTAGATCACAAGATTTAATAAAACGAATGTGATTTTGCGTGAAACAGACTCAATAATTCAGTTAATGGGGTAAACCATATTTTTTGATTTATCTAAAGCTACCAAGAAGAGGAAATTAGAGTTTATCAACCATACTCAAAAAAATCTTAAACTGGTACAAGATCAGTGGTCTGATACTATTTTAGAAATACCTGCAAGTTTCAGAGATGCTGATAGAAGAGATCTTTTTGAGCATTTTCACATTTTGTTCATAAAGATACAATACCAATGTGGATTGGTTATAACTCTAAAACAGTAACTGACGATAATGAAGTACTACAGAAGGTGACGTATTTGCGAAATTAAGAATTACAGATAGCATCGCTAATGAATGTGGTCAAAATTTTGGTGTTGTCATTTACGACTTAGATATGGCCAAATCTGCAATATACAGTCATTGGAGTCACCAAAATTTGATAAAATTTTTATATAATTTGGCTCATTTCATTTTTATATGGCATACTTTGCAGCTCTAGAAAAAATCATGTCCAAATCTGATTGTGCTCATATTTTGTGTGAAAATGGGAGTACTAGCAGATAATTCGGTAAGAGGATTTATGTCTGAAAGACATTTAGATGCAAAAGATTACTTCCTCTCCTTCATCTAGCTTTACAACTTCAGCACATCAAATTTTTCTTGAGTTCAAATATAACTTGCCTCCCGGATTCGTACTTTACTTATGTTATGTTATGTTGATAATGGGGTGTTAATACACTGCGACCTAAAAGATATATTGTGCCCCCTTCTGTCGCCACTGCACTAAGGAAATGTCTCAATGCCTATAGCGACCCTTCCAATCCTATTTTCTCAAGGAAGTGTAGGATTTGAAGTGGCTTCAAGTTAGGTAAGTCTCCCTCTTCTATTTGATATCCTCCTATATATAGTGCCCTTGGATTCTGGAGTGCTACACATTCAGTTAGGATGTGAATGGAGGTTTCGTCCTCCTCCTCACAGAATCTGCACTCACTATCCTCTACTACTCTCAGTTTACTTAGGTGTCCTTTTAGTCGGCAGTGCCCGGTAAGGATCCCTGTTACAATACGTAGCCTGTTCTTGCTCAGGCAGATGCAGGCTTCCGATCTTTTTTGGTTATATTCACCCAGAAGTATCTTGGCCTGTCTCAGCCCCAAGAGATTGTTCCAATTATCGGTTCTTCTACTACCCAATTCTTTTTTAATCTCTTCTAATATTATGTTGCTGATACCGCAGAACGGCTCAGGTCCTACACAGGGTGTTTGAGCCCCTTTCCTTGCAAGACTATCTGCAATCTCGTTACCCTGTACCCCGTCATGTCCCGGGACCCAAGTGAGAGTAACTCTATTTTTCTCGCCTAGCTCATTCAATTGTTCTAGGCATCTCCATACCATTTTTGAGCTGATTACGTAAGAACTCAGCGCTTTGATGGCTTGACTATCGGACATGATGATAAGCTCTTGTCTATGATAGTTTTTCTCGATGTTAAACTGGATACACTTCTCGATGGCGTGAATTTTCGCCTGGAAGATGCTTGGGTATTTTCCCAAGCTTTCGGAGTGCTTGGTTCTCGGCCCATACACTCCTATTCCAGTTCCTTCTATGGTTTTGGAACCGTCCGTGTTTCACTGAATAGCACGTCTTTCGGTTGCAAGCGCGATGGATTCTTGGCTCCATTCTTTCTTGCAGCCCAGCTCTGTGGTACTTTACTTAAGGGAGGGTAAGGTTAATTCGTGCAAAAAAAGGCACATTTTTGTGAATTTTTTTTTTGACGACACAGTTAAAATCTATTTATTTAAATTAATGGTACATTAAAGTATAACATTCAAAGAATATTGTGTCAAATTTTCATGTAGAAATATAAAAAAATACGGAAATGGCAGCAATTATTCGGAAGTGTCTCGGAAAAAATTAGAATTGCGGTGCCCCTCCTAACTCGGTGCTGGATCATCAGAAATAAAAAAATCAAAGTTCTCTCGTTAGATAATCGTTTTCCCCAGGTAACGCTGGGAGGGTTTTTAGAAATTTCAATTTTTTACTTTTTGGAAACACTTTGAAATAAAAAACGCGATTCTTGCGAAAAAAAATTGGCTAATTTGTTATTATAAAATAAAAAAATATTAACAAATTTGAAAAACTCTCCAGCGTTACCTCGTAAATTATGTACAGAAATAGTGATCAAAATTTCAAAAAGATGGGTACAGTAGTTTTGAAGTTAGGAGGGGCACCGACTTTGGAAACGTGAGTTGTGGGAAAAACGCTTTAAAGTTTTGAACACTAAAAAATTTGGAATAAAACGTTCATAAGCGAGTTTTATCGGCTTATATCACACTGAATCATCCATGTCAGGTCCTCAAAGGATGTTGCTATCATTCATGAAGTCTACAGCATCTTTTTGATCCTGTCTACGACGAATCCTCATTCATGAGCGCTTGATCCACTACTGATTACCATGTCTTGCATGTAGGTTAGTAATCCAAAAGAACATGCCAGGCCAATGCTACACTAAATTATATACAGTACAGGTATAAACACATTTGTACTTGGGTTAAAATTTCTATAAAGGTAGCAGGTAAGGTTAGGGATTATATAGAGAGCGAAACAGCTGCCAGACAAGGGCGGTTCCGAGACGAATTTTCGGTGGGGGCCATTGCCTTTAGCCATTTTCTTTTTCGCATATTTTTTTGAATAAAAGGCTCATAAATCGTAAGAATTTTCATCTCGGGGGGGGGGGGCAAGGCCACCATAGCTGCCACCCCCCAGAGACGCCCTTCCTGCCCGGTAACAATAGCGCGCTCGGACCGGGCAGGTATTTTCTGATGCACTGAGTCATGTATGAGGCGCGGTTACTCAAACTGCTGTATTCGTTATTTTGCTCAGATTCATCTCAAATTTTCACAAAATATTCTTGAAAGGTTCTTCATTCACAAAATCAAATATTAAATAAAATACAAAAAAAAGTTTAAAAACTTTACTCCGCCCTTAATATCTAATAGGGACTATTATTCATAAAACGAATGCCTAACAGAATTTATAGCATTTTTAGCTAACTATGACTACTATGAGTTATTCTGCAGTGCCTCGCGTACAGGAGAAGATGGATCAACTGCTCAGTTTTGGTTTATGTATATCGATTATGTACATCTATACTTAAAAATGTCAAGAGCCATAAGGATGAATGATGTAGATCTTTTCCCATTTTGTTTGCTATTGATGACAAATTTTTTCTTAGTAACTAATCATCTAAATTATGCAAAATGGATTGTCCGTTATCACGAAAACTTAGATATCGATTCCAGATATCCTGGCTTAAAACAGCCTCTTGAGAAAGGAGAATGTTTATCCGTTTAGCAATCAAACATTTCTTTTGCTGGTGCACCAATTGAACAAACTCTTGAGCATACCGTTAACAGAGATTCAGCGAGTATAAGCTTACAGGAATATCGGCACGTTCGATGGACACTAACCCGAAGTGTGAGATCAAAACTAGTTACTGGTCTAAAAGAAATGGCAGGGTTAAACGCAAAAGACGATGTTTCCAAAGAACTGAAAAAGTCTAGAATTATTCGTGATAATGCTGATCTACAAAGTATTTGTAATACATTAGAAGAATCGACAAACCCATTCAGCATTTCATTTGAGAAGGAAACACTTTATAATATGACTGGTAAAGCTGCAAATATGAACACAAAGAAATATTTGCTCAGTTCAATGAACAAAGGAGATACATTAAGAACTGCCTTCATTGAAGAATGTAATAAAGAAAATGAAAGGTTTAACCAGACAATACACAAACAAAAAATAAATTATTTTGAAGCTGAGGGCGTTAAAGTTAAGGTACCTACCAAAGACAATAAAGATAAAGAAGTTGGGCTCACTGTGGAATATTTGGTCGAATGTGTTTTTTGGTTATAGAAAAGAAATTACATTTAGAAGATGTTCTAAAATATTCATTAACATCTTTGTAGATTTATTTAGTTCACATAGATGAAGTCATGTTTAAGACTGAAAAGTCTCAGTTGCTAAGACATCTCGAAAGACTTATTCAAACAGAAGGAATGCCACAAGAACTCTATAATGTGATTGATGCTATGTTCCTGTTACTTACACTATCAGCAAAAGTGCCTGAAACGTATGGAGAGTTGTCAAAGTATATTTTGAAAAAACAATGTTCGACTAAGACAAATCGAATAAATGTAATCTTCGATAGGTGCAAGACTCCTTCCATAAAATAAATGGAGAGATCCAAAAGAAGAACAACAGAAAATGATTTCTCATCTCATCAAGAAAAAGGTCATTTTCAGAATTCCTTGCTAGAGACTGGCAGCATGATTCTCATAGGGATATTTAAAAAAATAAAATATGGTATATTACATATGAAACCAAATATTTTGTAAACAAAAAATAAACGAGTAGTTAACCTGTGAACATGAGGAGGCTGATTCAACACTTTTTTTCATTGTGAATACATATTCAAGACTGACTCACCTCCAATAATATCAAAGGATAATTTTACTAAAAATCAGCGGCGTGCCGAAAGGGCCCGCAATGCGGGGGGCCCCGGGAATCCGGGGGGCACCCGCTCAGCCTCGACCTCAACTACCTCGAGCAAGCTTTTTTACATAGTAATAACTACAATACTTATATACTTAATTTTATAGCGTCGGAGCTAATTCAAATAAAAAAACCTCCTATATGTTAGTCTGCAAAATCAGTTTTAAGGAATTTTCTGATTTTATTTACTTGAAAAGCGATTCAAATCATAATAATAATAACATTTTTTATAGTTATGTTTTATTTGTTTATTTTTGTTACATTTTTGTATTAGTTATAAATGTTTTATTTGTTTATTTTTGTTACAGTTTTGTGTTAGTAATGTTTATTAAATTTTTTGTATCTCTAAACCGATTTGAAATATCACCGTAGATATTAGTTTCGTTGTCACCCAGTATAGGCAGTATATTAAATTTTTTTGATGTAGAGGGCCCTTGAAAATAATTGCGGGGGGGAGGGGGGGTTGAAAACAATTGCAGGGGGGGCCGAAGATATTGGCACGCCACTGCTAAAAATTGTCTTATTTACGCACTAGTGCGTAAAAAGTTTTACTTTGCGCATTAGTGAAAAAAGTAAAACTTTATGCACTGAATACCCTGGAAGAGTTTATTTGTGAAATGTATATGGTCAAACCATGTGGCCAAGTAAATTTAGCGCAAATGAAATTATTTTGAGATGGAACAAGCCTAAAAATATTTTCAAGTCCTTTTTTAATATTAAAAATATTGAGCCTGCATTTTTATCACCATGTAAATCCGTATTACTAAATAAAATGCTCCGATGTAATTTGTACACTCTGGAATAATACAAGCGATTCAGACACTAACCCCAGAAAATAATGGCTGGATAATCTGGACATTAACTGAAGAAGGTTACAGCCCTTTATGGAATACAGCACCATATTTCTCTCCCACCTTTGAGGACCTTCAAGATACTTTTCAGGAAGAACAAGCAGTCTTAAGTTCAGATGATTCTGAAAGCGAATCTGAAGAAAACTGTAATGAAAATGATTTATTTTTATTTGTTTATTTTCGTTTTTTATGTTATATTTAATTTAATTTTGTATGAGAGAAGTAGTCAAAAAACACGATTATTTACTTTTTGAATTCAAGCACCATATCCCTATTTATTTTATTGCTTCAATTTACCTAAGAGGTTTTATTATACCTAGAGATTAGGTTTCTATAAAATAAAAATAGACGTTTTTTGCTGTAAATATTAGGTTTGTCTTATGGACGAAGAGATATACTAAATATTATACCTTACATCACTTTTAATCCCGGTAACCATCTGTCCATACAAAATCTGTTTAAGTTATGTTTTTATACTAAACTAGCTATTGCCCGCGGCTTTGCTCGCGACTTTTCTCGCGACTTTTCTCGCATGTAGTCGTATTATTAATATAAAAAAATATATGACTTCCTTTTTTATTAATTTTTATTAGTTTTATTGATTTTCATTTATTTTTGTTCATTTTTTTTGTATTTATTAATTATTTATTTTTACTCATTTTTATTTATTTTTATTTATTTTTATTCATTTTTATTCACTTTTATTCATTTTTATTCATTTTTATTCATTTTTATTCATTTTTATTCATTTTTATTCATTTTTATTCATTTTTATTCATTTTTATTCATTTTTATTCATTTTTATTCATTTTTATTCATTTTTATTCATTTTTATTCATTTTTATTCATTTTTATTCATTTTTATTCATTTTTATTCATTTTTATTCATTTTTATTCATTTTTATTCATTTTTATTCATTTTTATTCATTTTTATTAATTTTTATTCATTTTTATTAATTTTTATTAATTTTTATTAATTTTTATTAATTTTTATTCATTTTTATTCATTTTTATTCATCATTTTTTTTAATTTTTATTCATTTTTATTCATTTTTATTCATTTTTATTCATTTTAATTAATTTTAATTCAATTCATTTTTAATCATTTTTATTCATTTTTATTCATTTTTATTCATTTTTATTCATTTTTATTCATTTTTATTCATTTTTATTCATTTTTATTCATTTTTATTCATTTTTATTCATTTTTATTCATTTTTATTCATTTTTATTCATTTTTATTCATTTTTATTCATTTTTATTCATTTTTATTCATTTTTATTCATTTTTATTCATTTTTATTCATTTTTATTCATTTGTTTAATTTTTATTAATTTTTATTAATTTTTATTAATTTTTATTAATTTTTATTAATTTTTATTAATTTTTATTAATTTTTATTAATTTTTATTAATTTTTATTAATTTTTATTAATTTTTATTAATTTTTATTAATTTTTATTAATTTTTATTAATTTTTATTAATTTTTATTAATTTTTATTAATTTTTATTAATTTTTATTAATTTTTATTAATTTTTATTTATTTTTATTTATTTTTAATAATTTTTAATAATTTTTATTAATTTTCACCCCCGTTTTCCCCCCTTAAAATGTGAAAATCCAAAAACCATGAAACATGTCATTATTAATTTGTACTCATTAGCTGCAATTCCAATTTTCATGTTTCTAACTTCAAAGAGAACAAAAAAAGTTATACTCCCATACAAACTTTTGCCCCTGTTTGCCCCTCTCAAGATGTAAAAATATAAAAACGCTAAAACACATTATTATTAATTTGTACTCAGTAGCTGCAATTCCAATTTTCATGTTTTTAACTTTAAAGAGAACCAAAAACATGAATACTCCCAAATAAATTTTCACCCCCATTTCCCCCCTTAAAATGTGAAAATCCAAAACCCTGAAACATGTCATTATTTATTTATGCTCAGTAGCTGTAATTTAAATTTTCATGTTTCTAACTTACAAGACCAAAGAGTTTCATTAAAAGCTTCCTCCCCTCATTATCTCCCATTTCCCCCCTTTAAAGTTAAAATTTCCAAAAATCCCTTCTTAGCGGATGCTTACGTTATAAAATAAACCTATGTTCCAAAGTTCAGCTTTCTAGGCTCAGTAGTTTTGGCTGTACGCTGATAGGTCAGTCAGTCAGGACAAACAATTTTATATACAGGGTGTCCCAAATTGTTTTACCCAGGCTATAACTTCTAAACCATGCAAGATAATCGAACCGGACAAAAGTCATCCATTATAATTGGCGGTGTACTTTGAAAAAAATAAAAATTTGACCACCCACCCTCAAAAACTACCCCCCTGGAACAACCCCCTCTAAAATTATTAACGACACCCTAATTTTTTTTTCTACTCATTTTTGTAGTCGCTACTTTTCTCTGTACATCTGTTTTTAAAATTTTGAAATCGCTCCATAAATAAGTGAGAAATTAAATAAAACTGTATGTCAAGTTGATGATAAAAAATACTTTATTAGGTTACACATAATTAAAAAAATACATTGAAACAAGAGAAGAAGAAGAAGAAGAAGAAGAAGAAGAAAAAGACAAGAAATAAATATCAACAAACAAAGAGTAATAACTTATAATAAGTGCTCAAATTACCCACCTCCCACTTCTACACATTTGTCAAACCTTAACAATAAATTTCTAGTACAGGCAGCTCGAATCATGGCCGGTGTAAATCTGTTACAAGCATGTCTGATTCTATTTTTTAAATATTTCAAGTCCTCTGGTTTTGTTTCGTATACTACGTCCTTTATAGTACCACAGAGAAAAAATCTAGAGGCGACAAATCAGGTGACCAGCCGGCCACTGGATAATTGGAGAATGTGTGGATATAATACGGTAACAAGTGTTTGCCAAATATTGGCTCACAATTTGTGCATTATGAGCTGGTGCACCATCTTGCTGCCACCACATATCACGTCTTTGATTAAGAGGAACACCTTCCAACAAGTCATGAACGGTATTGATTAAAAAATCACGATATCCTATTCCCGTTAGAGTGTTTTCATAAAAATGAGGACCTATAATCCTACTATTGAACAAACCACACCATACCTTTATGCCCCAAATATTTTGAAACCTTGTTTCTCTTACCCAGTGAGGATTTGTTGGGGACCAGTAATTGGAATTATGACGATTTAATACACCATTATTATGGAAACGTGATTCGTCGCTCCATAATATTTTACCTAAGAATGTGGCATCGTCATTTAGTTTCACCTGCATTCTAGCGAGAAAGTCTAAGCGTCTTTCAAGATCATTAGGGAGTAAAACTTGGACCAAGTGTATTTTATAAGGATAATATTTATTGTCTTTTAATATTCTTTGTATGCTACTTTTGCTTATTCCAATTTTGAGTGCCAAATCTCTGATAAAAACATGTGGATTTACATGAACGTAAGCCAAAACGTGTATAATATTTTCTTCATTTTTGATCATTCTGTTGTGTCCTCTATGATGTTTACCGTCAGGAAAATGTCCTTGTCTAAGACTTCTTTCTAAATTGGAAAACGTTCTAACTGAGGAAATTGTTGTATTCGGAAAACGTTCATAGTATAATTGTCTAGCTTGTCTTGAATTCTTGCGACAATCGCCGTAAATAATTATCATATCGGTGTACTCGTTGGAACTAAACAGAGTAGGCATTTTGAAATAATTTTTTAGGACTTGACAAACTCTAAATTACTGCTAACTTTATCAAGTAAAAACTGCTAACTTTATCGAGTATTTAAGCTGCACTTCTGTTTGACAAGAGACATTGATATAGTATTATTTATAATGCGCTAGAAAACTTACAATGAATTTGACAGCAAGCAACTTGATGAAAATGAAAAAAAAAACTAATCTCACTTATTTATGGAGCGATTTCAAAATTTTAAAAACAGTTGTACAGTGAAAAGTAGCGACTACAAAAATGAGCAGAAAAAAAATTAGGGTGTCGTTAATAATATTTGAGGGGGTTGTTCCAGAGGGGTAGTTTTTGAGGGTGGGTCATCGAATTTTCATTTGTTTCAAAGTACACCACTAATTATAATGGATGACTTTTGTCTGGTTCAATTATCTTGCATGGTTTAGAAGTTACAGCATGGGTAAAACAATTTGGGACACCCTGTATATAAAATCTGTCTTATGGACAGAAAGCCCCAAAATATGTTGTCTTACGACACTGTTTTAGAATAGGTGGCCCTTTCCGCATAAAATATGATGGTTTTTATTGTTATACTTTGTGACTTAAATTTTGGTCCTTTTCTAAATTTTTTACAGTTTCTAGTGGCCAAATGCCCCCGGTTTGGGATGTAAGACAAAACAAAATCAAACTATATTTACAATCCACATTAAATCTGACAGTTAAAATTTTTATACCTTTAAGTTTTGAGGCAGTAGCTCCCGGTCCATACCTTTAAACGTTGCTGCTAGGGAAAAGCTCCAATTAGTGATATATTTAAAAAAAAATCGTATACATTACCGCAAAAAGAAGACATTTGAAAATTTAGGAATATTAAGATAGTTTAATTATCTGTCGACTCTTGTAATCAGATTTTTAAAAAATTATAAATTTAAAAACTTTTTATTTTTATCTCAGAAATATAGCTTAAGAGCAAAATTTTAAACACAACAGTACCTACTTACAGTATTTTAATATAAAACGTGCTTTTAAAATTTCTTTTAAATAACTTCAAAAATATAGATGATAATAATAATACTCTCCCTAATTCACCCTCTTACGAGTGAATTTCAACCCCTGAAGTTGACTTAGCAACTTGTGTAGGGGAAGGGAGCGTTCATTTACAAATTAAGGTGAGTTATGTATTCCTCTTAATCAAATTAATAAAAATGTTTCAATATTTACCTATTAATGCTAATTTGATAAACATCCTTAAATTAGGATCTAACAAGATCTTGGGAAATTGACATTGATATTTATGATACCCCTCAAAAGACTTGCTTCTACATTCCTCACTGCAATACAATGCACCACTGCAGTTTTCACACGGAATCATTTTAAAACAAAGTTCTAGACACTCATGACAGTGCAAATATTTGGCCTCTGGATCGACAACGTGGCAAAACGAATTTTCTACAGATAAAACTTCTCCAATTTCTATGTCTCGAGTTGCAATAATGTGTCTACCATATTTTTTGTTGCATTTTATTTCTATAGAATCTTCTGCACAAGGTATCAGAGGATTTTTAGATTTAAGAACAGGAGGTTTGCTGTAATACTGGAATTGTTTTTGCATATTTTTTTGAGATTCAGCGTTGGTTTTTCGTTTCAGTAATTTTGGCTTTAAGTTTTCAGGATAATCTAGCGATAATGCTCTGTCAATATCCTGTAAAAAATGAAATACTCTAGAATATTTACAAAAAAACATGCTGTGCTGCAAAAACAAATTTTATTAGTCTGATTTTACACCCATTTCACAGACCAAAAAAATTCACGAAGCAACCATGTAAATTCTAAACATCATCAACAGCAATGCCAACATAGAGCACAAATTAAAAACATCCAGCTACTATTATACTATTAAACGCAACAAAGCTTAACATATAGACATAGGAAAGAATAGTACTATTTTTCATATCTCTCTTAACACAATGTATTTCACAATCAGTGCAAGCGAAACAATTTGAAATAAATTAAACAGGTTCATTTTAAAAGGATAATTAAAAAATCTGGCCAATAGAAAACCTAAATAACCTAAATACCTATTTTTAATTCTTAAGTTTTCTCCAATCCTGATTAGGTATTTTTTAAATTTGAATTATTATTGTAGTTTTATTTATTATATAACTCTGTGAAAATAATTCTCAAAGTTTGAGCCAATATGAAACTAGAAGAATCTTAATTTTCATTTTCTCGGAATTGTTTTAGAACATGCTTCACGTGTGTCTTTTTATCCAACTGTTGCAGCAACGTTGGCATCGGTGCGGTATGTCAACTGTTATTTATTTCAACGGTCAACCAGAATCCAACACAAAACGTTCAAGGCCGCATCGGTGAAACAACGGTTGCAACAAACCGGTGGAAAAAAAGACACACGTTTCGTAAAATAACACCTTTTTCAGCAGACGTGGAGCGATTTGCTGCAGTAACAAGGAAAAAGCAATGACAATACCTGCTACAGTGAAATCGTAACCTGTAATCGTACCAGATGTCAGGAAAAGTTCAGATATGTCTGAACTTTTGACGTTTATTTGTCTGGGAATGTGCTGGGAATAATTATAATAGTCTAAGATCCGAAGTAAGGTCGACCTTCAACCATCTGTTTAATGGATGAAAGTTTCTTTCTATTAAATAAAATATTTTTATAAATATAGCGCAAAAGGTTTGCCTAAGAAAATACGGTCCAGACTATTTATTTTCTTAAAATAAAAAAAATGACACCCTGTAAAGTATTCTTCAGATGCTTCGACAATGCCTAAACTTTAATCTGCTTACCACAGGATAGTATAAAGCTTTAGTTTAAAATTTGGTGTTTTTCTCTTTATCCGTTTTTGGGTTGTCTTCAAAATTCTAAATTTGCAGTTTTCCTCAAATATCTCGAATTAGGTCCATTTTAGGGAAATTATGTATAGGGACAAAATAATAGAGAATGTAATCTAAGTAACTTTTATCATGATTCCTATACTTTCTTTGTCTGTACACGGAAAGAAAAGCAAAAAATAACTCTGACCGTATTTTCTTAGGCAACCCATTTGCGATATATTTAAAAACATATTTTATTAAATAAAAAAAAAACTTTAATCATTGAACAGATGGGTATGAAGGTCGACCTTACTTACGGATCCTGGACTATAAATTGTCCGGAATTTTTAGGAAAATCATCAAACGTATTCATACAAACAGTTCTTTTGGTCATTGTCTTTTATTTTTTCATGATTTATGTTTATGTTAAGGAGGTCCTTTCGCCACCAATGTTAAATAAAAAATATTAGATTATGACTAAAATTAATTTTTTTCTAATAGTAGATGTCCTTATTTATCTAATAGTGAACTTTTAACTATACCTTACCGTGCAAATTTTTTTTTAAAATGTGTGTGTTTGTACAGTGTCTTATGAGAAAGTAAGACTTCAACAACAATTTTCGAATTATAATTAATTTTACTATTATTTATTGATTAGATGGAGTAGAAAAAAACTAAAAATAAGGTTTTTGAAATATTTAGCTTTTGTTTTTTACAATAAAATATATAGGTTACCGTGGAATTTATTGAGAAATTATTATTAAAAAATCACAAAAAAAATTTCAACTAGGTTACTTGAAAATTTTTTGTGATTTTTTAATATTAATTTCTCAATAAGTTCCATGGTTTACTATATATATTTTATTGTATAAAACAAAATCTAAATATTTCAAAAACCTTATTTTTAGTTTATTTCTACTCCATCTAATCAATAAATAATAGTATAATTCGAGAATTTTTGTTGAGGACTTACTTTCTCGTGAGGCACTGTACAAATACTCACATTTAAAAAAAAAATTCTCAAAAATTTGCAAGGTAAGGTGTATAGTTAAAAGTTCAGTATTAGATAAATAAGGACTTCAACTATTAGAAAAAAATTAATTTTAGTCATAATCTAATAACTTTTTTTTTAACATTTGAGGCGAGAGGTGTGGCGAAAGGACCTCCTTAAATGAAATGTTCAAGGAACAGTTTTTGTCTTGTGTAGTAGTTGTGTTTTTCTATGCCCTTTGTAATAGTGTTTTATGTTTCATTTCAGGCATTTTTAATTGAGGAACTGTTTTTTTTTAAGTTTTAGTGGTAGGTAAGTACCTACTGTTTTAAATAAATTGTTTAATAATAGTAGTTTTATTAGTTTGTCCAGATTTTTTAAATAAATGTCGGAAATTTTTCATTAGGTCTGTTAGGAAATTATATTTTTGAACATGGTAACCAGTAAAAACTGAATTAAAAAAGTTATTTTTCAATTTTTATAAAACCTTACCTCTAAGCATTCCTTATAATACTTTACTTCAAAAAGGCATGCAGATCTGTTAGCATATGCTAAAGCCAAGTAGGAGCTGCCATTTACAGCAAAAGCAATACTTTCAGTATACTTTTCTAATGCACTCAAGTAATTATTATCGCGTAAAAAGTAATCATTGCCTTTTATTCTTAGTTCATCTGATATTTCATTTGATTTTCTGGGTTGGGGTTCGGCAATTATATCTTTAAATGCTTTTAATTCGTTTATATAGTTATATACGACATTCACATAATCAGAAGGGTGGGCTAATTTTTTAATTTCGTCTTCTTTAGAACATAATTGTGCTTCTTGTAAAAGTATTTGTGTACATTTTGTTACATGCTCTCCATGCTTCATTCTCCACATTTTGTTATTACTAAATATTAAGCATTCACGTGCACTAAAAATGAAAATTACACTTTTCTACCACTGTAATCTACAAGACAAAAAAGATAAAGATAATTCGAGGAATCCCAAAACACGGCATCCTAATACAGTTTTGCCAATTTGCCAACCTTGAAGATTGTTAGATATACTGGAGCGCGTTCAGGAAACACGCTCCGACCAAAAAGAGCGCGATCAATTTGGTCTTGGTTCGTTCAAGAACAGTCGAGCGTTCAATTTGGACATTTAGCTACTCTCGTTCCGAAAGTCGAGTCAAATTAAGCTATTGCCGCGTTTGAGAATCCACATCGGATGCATCTGAGATGTTGTGAATTTTTTATCACGTGATAGAGAATTAGATCTGAATGTAGATGTAAAAAACAAACGCTCTAGACTTTATTTGGTCACGTGATAAAATGTCAATGACAAGTTAGAAGTTTATACTTATTAAATTTGACTATTGAGACTACACATCAACCTAAATTTGAAATATAAACAAAAATTAAACAATCTAATCACTTTTATATTCATAACAAAGGATAAATTTGACAAACAAGACTTCACAGAACACTTACTTTCAGGCATAGAACGAACATCTCATTCACATCTCATTTCAAATCGAGATGTAAAAAATGTAATCTGAACAGGTACATCTGGGATAAACAAACGCAGATGTAGATGTAGTAGATGTGTCCGATGTGGATAAAAAAACGCTCGAGATGTAAAAAATGCATCCGATGTGGATTCTCAAACGCGGCATATATCAAGCTAGCGGGCACTCTGTGGAGGCACCATACAAGACCTGGTGGGTTTTTTGTAGCTTTTTTGTTACGCTGTTTGCGAATTTGTAGCTTTGCCCAGGTCCGAAAAAACAGCGGATCCGCTAGCTTGAATTTCCATAAATTCCATAGTAGCGGCACAGATTCAGACCCAGCTGGTTTTTCGTAACTTTTTTGTAGCTTTTTTGTTACGCTAGTCTCCCTTTTGTAGCTTGTACTGAACCTGAGAAAAGCGCGGATCCGCTAGCTTAGCGGATATTTTTAGCGGCACCAGCTCGGACCATGCAGGCTCATTTTTTGTAACTTTTTTGTAGCTTTTTGGTTACACCTGTCTCCATTTCGTTGCGAGGCCTGAACGTGAGTGATAATCGTTTCTCAATGAGCGTGAGAGGAAAGTGCGTTAATTAAAATCAAGTTTCGGCCTCTACAAGTAATATGTGCAACTCGATAGTGTGACTATCTGTTACTAGATGGCACCAGTATTGCATTTCACGAATTATGGCCATCTTCCATTTAATATATTTTTGAGAAATTTATATATAATCTCAAAATCGGACATTTTCAACGGTATGTATATTAATTATTTGTCCGATATTAATGTAAAATACATATTGACAAGATTATTAAAATAGTTGTATGCCGGACGCCACTATTTTCCCGATCGGGTGTTTTCAGTTATTTTTACTGCTAAAAACTACTGCTACTTCACACCGGTTGTAATAGCTACCAAGGTGCGTATGCTTGAAAACGAGAGAAACTGAAACTCCCCGGAGAATTAGGCATTCCAACGACCTGTCCAAATGGCTACCAGTGGGTAATGACAGTTTAGATATGGCAACCCTGTTGTCATGCTGTCATTAACAGGGTCAATGATACATATATAGTTATATAGATTGCTCAAAGCTGGTGGTTTACGAGCGGCCATATTGCCTGGCAAATATTTATTAATTTGAATCGGTTTAGCAAAAATGTGTTTTAAAACCAATTTTTAGCCTTTAGATATTTAAAAAAAAATAATTGCTTACATTTTTACTTCAAGGCATAAGCTTATGTTTATTTTGAAAAATATGGATGATCAATCTATGTAACTATCTATTTCATTGACCTTGTCAAATCACCAGACCTACAGGGTTGCAATAATTTTGCCATATCATAACCCGTCAAAACCCACTGGTAGCCATTCAGTTTGGAATGCCTAATATATTCACTTTATTTTCACTTTCCCAAAAAATTGGTATTCTTGAAATAACGTGAAAGCCAAGGGAGGAGAAAGTAGATGGTGAAAATAAATACAGAGTGGTCAGATCGTTTTAGGTCATCCGACCAATTAGAAACTACGAGCTTTTGATAGCAAATGTCACTTCTGGCATTTTAAGAATTTAGGTTATGATTTCTTTTTATCGACAACGGAATTGTGAACGGAATTTTGACTTTTTCACGTATAGACATTTTAAAATACTATTGTTGATTAAAAATAATATTAACTGCTTTAAATAATTATCAAACTAAAAATTCAAATATCTTGGCAATAATTCAAGTAATATTTTTCTAAATGTTTAGTTTTAGTTTTAAAACGACTTTATTTACAGTTAAAAACTCTACGATTGTAGGAGGTAGGTACTTACCTATTACTTTCCTAAATAATTTATCATTTTAAAAACACGATGAGTCAAAGTACAAACAAATTTAAAAGATGTTATTACTATTGGAAAAGGGGAGTATTATAGTGTACGGGGATAGTTTTACACTACTGCCTTTTATAACTAAAGAAGTTGTTGCTCCATTTTGTCAATTTGTCTAAAATGTATCTGTATTGAATAAAAATTATTCTTATTATTTTCGCGTCTAAATCCATTTTAAAGGGAAAGTAAATAGCGCAAATGTATAAATATATATACCTGAAAACTACTAACAACATCAATGAGGTTATAGTAATATTTTGATTTATTTAATTTCTGACAAGCACTGCGCATGCTTGTGAATTGAATTCTCTCGTTATTTTCATTCTCTCTACCTAAAAGTAGGAGAAAGTTTTGAGAGACAATTCTCCACCAATTTTAGTGAATTTGATTTCAAGAATACGAATTTTTACAAAGGAGAAGAAAGTGAGAATTTTCTCTCAATATTTCTCACTCCTCGATTTCAAGAATAGGCACCCTGGCCACATACTTTTATTACTATACGGGGCAAGAGAGAGGTCCGATACGCCCAACATAGGGCGCGGCCATTTTGATTCCTATGCCACAGTTTATAGCTAAAGAATCAGATCGCTCACTCTGCATCGGCACTTTTGATCTCAATGTTCCAGTTTATACACTGCGCAACTCGAATAATACAATATATGACAACCGCCTATAATAAAACAGCAGTCTTCTGCGTATCCTGAATTTGTATCCCTGAACTGGATGTTATTTTGGAACTTTCAACTGGTCCGAGTGAGCTAACTGATTCTTTAGCAATAAACTGTGACTCCAAAAATAATATTCACTGACACTGACAGCAGCAAGCAAAATATATGGGCGGCTATCCTCGACAATCGCTAAAAAAACGAACCGTTTTCAAAAGTGAGTGGTTGAAAAGCGAGTAGTTTTTGAAATCTATATTCTTGACTGACGTTCGATGAGTATTCGTTTTTTAAGACGTGTACGTTTTTAACAAGCAAATTATATGTCTGGCATCACTGTAAACTGTCTATGTCGTTGAATTCAAGTAATGTGCAGGCCATAAAAAAATAAGAATTATGTAATTTAATTACAACAAACCAATTGTAAATTTGTCGAACGATGATTTTTTCTAATCACATAATATATATCGATGTTCAGGATAATCTGAATCGTTAATTGTTGGCGTAAAAATAGCTATACGGGTGCAGTTAATGCAACCTATAATTCTAGGAAAATCGTACGTCATAAAAACCTAGTTTTTATAGTAAAAAATTCATTTAACTAATAACTTTGCTTATATTAATCAGTACTTTAATATTTTGTGGCAATTTTACAAAATTGTAAAAATTTCTGGACACAACGTGTGATACAGGAGAGCTTTGAACCGCAAGCAAATTAACATTTGTAAATAAAACATACATGAATTAATAATAAAATTCTTACACGGTAAGATATAAAAAATATTCATTCAATATCAGTTAAAATCAAAAACTGGATTCTGCCTCTGCAAGTTAAGGATTCTTATCTTCTAAGTTTTCTAATTGTACAATTATTGATAATATAATTGAAAGAAATTATCAGCTAATGGACTTCTTTAGTACTGCAAACCATATTTATAAGAAATTAGATACTTTTGTAGGTATTAATAAATAGTAGTTTACCTAGAATTTCTTAAAATCAATCAATAATATTAATCGTCCTAAAAGTGACATATAAGTGACATTGACTAAATCCTTGAAAACATGCACGTTTTATCAAAAACGTGTGAAAAATTCCGCTCGCTGTAAAACACCCGTTTTAAAAGCGTACACGCTTTTAAAACGAATGTCGAGAATAGCGAATAGCTCGTATGTTGCTAAAGCGTATACGTTTTTTAGAAAACGATAGCCGAGGATAGGGACCGTGCGTGAAATATAGAGGCAGCACTACTGCCGAACTAGTGTTGTGAATATCCGTATCTTTTTAGTATTCGGATAATACGTATTCGGAACCAAGAGATATTCGGATTCATCATCCGGATACGTATCCATATGTGTGAAATCATAATACGCAACCGTAAATACACCGCGACCTTGGGAATCGGAATCGGGCAGTGTTGTCAACCCTAGCAGAATTTATGTTTGAGAGTGAAGTAACAGGAGCTTTTAATGTTTTAGAATAATAAACACAAGATAAATCTCAAATATTTTGTTTTTTATCATAATATCAGAAACAAAATTTCTCATTTATATTTATATAACTTCATGTTACCTTTAAAATATGCAGTGCATGCCGACTAACCGATTATGAATTGCAACAACGCTAGACGATTCCGAATTGTGATTTCGTATCCATAGTTCGTATCGGCTGCCACCCGCAAAACCCGAATCGGGTCTGTCATAACAGAACTTGCAGCATTCGATTCGTGTATTACGATTTTGTTTCTGTTCTTTTTGATACCGAATTCGTATTCGAATTTACACTATTGATTCCGGAATATCCGGATCCTTTTAATATTCGGATTCAACGGATTTTTGGATACGTATTCTTACATCACTATGCCGAACTTAGCCCTCTCTAGTGTTTAATTTTAGAATTAAATGGGGTAAACATTGCAAGTAAATAATGAAGGGTATTTTTTAAATATTAAATATAGTTAAAAATAGATACCGGCCCGTACCAAACAATCGTGTACATGGTCAAAAT